CGCATAGTTTTTGACAAAGTGCATTTACAAAATATCGATGATATCCTACAGATGTCTGTCCACCAACTCTATCTGTAACGTTCCACTGGTTAAAATTGTTAAATAATCCTTTGTTGCATGCTTTAATCGTCTGCATATTCCAGTTTGACACAAAATTATTCATATTACAAATACTTTCGTTGAAAACGGATGTTTACTTTTTGACTATTAAACAAAAAGATATCTTATACGCGAAAAGAACTCTAGGTTGCAAAGAACTAAATTTTATGAGAGTCATAGTTACTTTGGTGATACCCTAGGCTCTATCGTGGAAAATAAGAATGTATCGAGAGAAAAATGGCGGCCATTTTATTTCATTTCATTTAGAAAATAGACCACGTGACCAGATTTTTTACTGTTACCTATGTAACAGTACAAAATTCTTTATCACGTGGTACACTTGCATTAACAGTAAGAATAACTCCCAGAGGCCTTTGGGAAATTAACATTACGAAAAAAGTGAGGGGTAATAAAATATAATGCTTACAAATATAAAAATGAAAACGTAAACCAGATAAAGCTAGAAATTATAAGTAATGGTTGGTGAAAAATTCCACGAAATGAAATTAACACACCAAGGGGAGTAACTCAATTAACAATTTGAATTTATGGATAACATTAATCACCCTTGGCTAAGACAACACAGATAGTTTGTGTTATGAATCATTTTACTACTTATATAATTAGATTTAATAAGTTTAAACACACATCCATTTGGACTCCTGATAAAATGCCATTTAGCTTGTCCTGTAGTACTCTCCTGCGCATCGGTCGAATGTTCCACTATCGCTCACTTTCATAGTTAACGTGAGTGTATTCAGTGAGCTGCGAAAGGAGCGTACTTCTGTAGTAGATTGATTTAAATACAACATCAAAAAGAAAAGCAACAGAAAATTGAATCAATCATGCCTATGTCATTAATTACATGTTTAACTTACGATTCAACATATAGAAATATACATTTATTAGTAACATATAATCTTACTTGTACAATGATAGATTAAGCAAACAATGTCAAACAATATCACATTACATCATCCGAGTAATATACTTATAGCAATGTATAGAACCAAACCCAGTAACATATACAATCCGAAACATGGAGAAAATAGAAAAAGGTCGGCAACAAAAGTGAAAATTTCTTTTCATTTCTTGATTATTATCTGCTTTGTTAAGGGTCCGCTAAGCTCAATAGGGATAGCCTTGGATTTGTAATCCAATAGTCAACGGGTGAGGCGTGAAAATATAATTTTGACATTGAATCTTATATAAGGTGATTTGTCTTCTACCGCTGATCTATAAATTATGTTTGGTTAGAAGTCTGTCACTTGCGGAGATATAAGTAATAACGTGTTAGTACTCGATAAAGCCGTTCAGGTGAATCGACTACCATGATATAATCAAAAACAAATGTTAAATCGACATATCAACCAGAAAAAAAACATATAAAACTTAAGTCTTTAATAGTCTTTTATAACCCATTGTTTGCAACAACATTAACATCATTATTGACAAGGTTGTTACACACGTATAAATAATGAAATACTATAATCGCGAGAAGCATTTGCAAACCTCTTTGCTAATTTATTTGTTTGTGAGGGGGTGTTGTTGTTTTTTTCTCACGCTTTAATATGAAATATAAGTTCTAATAAAACAAAAAATTGTTAAGCACTGTTTTCTGATTCGGCTATTTACAAAGTATTAGTGTAAGAAATATAAGCAATATCATTCAACTTACAAACAAACTCACGGTAATTATTTTAAATGGTTAATTGTTATCTATATCTATGCTTTGTTCAACAAACATTCCTTGAACATAGAGTAATTTGTAATAAATCTAATATCCTATCACATTTTAAGCACTGAAACCAACGAGCTTTGCAAGTCGCACAATTCCAAAGTTACTGTTGCTTAAAAAAAGCGAAACAGCATATAAGTGATCCACAACTTTAACTGGTAAACTAGTCCCTATTATGAAAATGAATTCCATTTCAGTGGCTTCGGTACGGAACCAATATACTCGAAATTAACTTTTTTGATTGTTGTTCATGTACTAACATATCAATAACCATTGCTTTTTCTTGGAGTGATTGCAAACTTCACATGCCGTCACATGTGATACGACAGTCAACTATATTCATTGTTCGCCTGGCCAGATTGCAATATCATAAACTTGTAATGCAAAATGAATTTCTTCATAATCCTGACCTTAGTCACTACAACATCCTGATGACACCTCACGATATAGTTAAATAATGATTCTTCCAACTAACTGGGAACTTTATTTTCATTTTACCTCAGTTTCTGTAAAAAATAAGGCATTGTTCCTTATTCAGCCGGTGGGACTTAGCTCAAAGCTTATAACTCAAACTGTTTTCCCTTCTATAGTTATGACATTGATGCATATTTTAAATTTCTGTTTGGAATCTTCTAACCATCTTCCAACAAACTTACTTCTAGCATCATGAACTTCATTAGGTATCGTCATCAACGGCAATTGTTATTTGCTCCCTGTGAACATTTGTAGCCATTGTGACCTTGTTATGATTGAACTCTACTTGAGATAATTCAACAACGTATACACTCTTCTGACCTTTTAGAAGCTTTAGGGTTATATTTTGTACTAGAACAACTCAAATCATGCCTAACCACAACAAACAAAATTAACTTTTAATTTGTCTGTTATGAATACAATTTTACTGATATAATTAAAACATGATGCTGAATAATGTTCAACTATATGTGCAGGTGTTGTATTTTCTTTGTAATTTTCAGGAAATTTTGACACAACTTTTGGCAAAAGAATGCACACAACTATATAGTTTTATGTGCGAAATTAAAAGTTGTGACTGGTCCAGAAGAAGTGTTCCCGCTTCAGAAAATGTCTAGTTTACCTCCTATTGCTTAGAATTTTTACCTAGTTGACGTTAATTCGTTGAGTAGCTGCCACCGTTGAAGTGTTCTGTTTACCTAAAACACTTTTTCTATACAGATGACAATTTGTATTTCTCAGATTCTTCTACTTTGTTATTTTGCCTTCCAAATGAAACTTTCAGCAGGATGGTGGCTAGGAAGTTTTGTAATAATGATAGTTTCATAACTATCTAGAGAAAAGGAGAGTACATGTATACACCACAGATCATTAAACAGTAAATGTTAGATGTCCATTTTTCCATGTAGCTTATTAAATTGAAATGACTGCATTTTAATAGTGCGTAGGTTACTCTTGTTAATCCTCATGGAGTCCTTGCCACTGGTTATTGTTGCTGGGTCGTGTGCGGGTTGCGTTCATTGAACACCGCCTTTCCTTGCTGATCTTGAAAAAGTACTTGACTCATTATCGTTTAAACATACTCGTATACAAAGGACCTACTTGAACTAATTGGTAATTTTATCTTTGTTTAAGTGCACAATCGACATCTTATGTTATCATAGGATGTTGAAGCAAACATATTCACAGTCATATAATGTACATTGCATGAATAATTTCTAAATTACCAGATTCGTAGCTAGAGAAAATACAATGTGTAGGTACTAGTGTACGAGGAGGGGGGGAGTCAGACTGGAAAAAATTGAAAATGTACAATGTCACAGTTGCATTCTGTATTTGTAGTACTTTAAATTATAGTTTTATTTCCGAGAAAAATTGATATCCGCAGCTGCATATAAATAAAGGAAGCCTAATATAAAGTGTCAATATTACAAATGACAAACTTAACGTGAAACCACACCGTCTCAACATTCCGCTACTTGCCGTTAGATTAAGAAACATACAAAAACTTGCTTGTTTGATCAATACGCAAAGCAGCTAAACATATTGCCATGACTTTTTAGAACGTAATTTCTAGGTACCCTGCCGTTGTGACTTGGTAGTGTCGAAGACTATGTCGTCTTGCCTTGTGGAAGTGACATGTCCTTCCAACGGTATAGTGAGTGAACAGGTTAAAGTTAAAATAAGTTTACATTTTGCCCTAATTCGTGTCAATTTTATAATTTACTTCGCAGAAATGATAAATAACTCATGTGACCCAAGTTTTTTTTATAAATATCCGTGAGAAATTGTAATGTTCAGTTTATTAAAAGAGTGGGGGCAGTCTTTTTATAAGTTAGGCAGATATATATTTTTGCTCAAACATTTTTCAATAACAATCACTTTTATAACAGACGATCTTTTGAAATGTATACTTAATTCAGGTCAACTTGACAATGACAAAATGAGCATAATGTCACTTTGATATTTGTTCTTTTTTTTAATTACATATTTTTAAATCAGGACTTTCGACGGCGGTATTTGTATCATTTATGTTTATTGTGTTATTATTTATGTCTACGTGGTCAATGAATTATTAAAACTATTCTTATGTATACTGTGAAAAGATTGTTGTGCACACAAGGATATGCGCAAAATCAGGATTTATCTCTAACTAAACACTCGCATTTCAAGGAAGAGGTCCTCAACACTGATTTGCTATCAATGCAAATTTAATTAAGTCATTAAACCGTTACAATACATAACCGGCAAAGCAATTATGTTCTTACCGGACCTCCTGTTTTGAAAAAGAAGTATTAAACTACATTGCATTCATTTGCCGGGCGTAATTGCTGTACTGTATAGATAAGAAATGGTAAGATAATTTTCTATTTTGAATTAATAACTATGTCAAGCAACATATGTTTATTTTATTCATCATATATATTTATCTGATTTGGATTATTTACAACAACCTCTCGTCCATCTTTTTGCTGTCTCCTGTGTTTGGAACGTGTCCTGTGCCGGAACGTGTCCTGTGCAGGACTGTGTTGCTGGGTAGTGTTGGGGGATGCATTTTTATTGAGTGTTACCCTACCTCGCTGATCTTTGTGCTTTCATATGTATGATAAAAATACCAGTATAAATACATTAATTAAGTTTTGTGTATAAAAAACAAACAAATAAAATGTAGCGCTCACTTTTTTTTCAGGGAAAGGCGTTACTGCTTCAATTGTTTTGCTGCTTTGGCGTAAGCATTGCACTGAAGTCATGGCAACTACCTCATAACGATTTACGAGCACTTGCTACAAGTGAGATGAACGCGGAATGGACTCGGTTCAAGAAAACATATAATAAAACTTATGTTGATGTACACGATGAGCTCAAAAGGTATACTTAGGAAGCAAATTGTGTTATTTTTTAAGACAAAGGCGTTACAAATACCCAAAATTTGTAATTACCGGATTCCCATATTTAAGATCAACAAATACAACATGATTTCGAACATTATTTTTATTTTAATTTAACTATTACCCAGTTTTTAAGTATATTTTAGAACTGTTCTAGGAAGTAACCTTTTCACCTTTACAATTTTAGACAGTTTAAAAAATTTTTTTAGTTTAAAAATGTTTTGCCTTTACTATGTTGCAGGCGCTTGTACTGGGAAGACACTATTCGTTTTATAGGGATGCATAACCTGAAGTTCGAGCGTGGAGAAGTTACATTCAGCCTGGGAGAAAATGAATTTGCCGATCTTGTTTGTAAAACGCAAATTGAATTTTAAGCTTTTACAAATTGTGCATGATTTGGTAAAATGCAGTGAATGCATATCATAGTCCTGAATTGTACACAGTAAGTTGTCTGAAAAAAAAAACTTAATTCTAAACATAAGGCATCATAATTGGTTTAATTTCTCATTAAATAAGTCATTTCTTTATTAACTGCAGAATAGTTTTATTTGCTTTAAGTACACGTTTTGTTGAATATTTAGATAAATGTTAAATCTTCGCCTAAATAAACATTAAGTTGAAGTAGCGAAAAATATTAGAAAACAGGACAATGCTTCTTTTAAGCTTTAAAAGAAATTGTTTCTGTTTTACCTTATTTGCCTGTTAATAGGCAGAAGATGAATTTGCAAATTTATACTTGACGGAGACATCTGTAACTGAACTGGAAACGAACGATGACTTCTCATACTTGTCTAACAATCCAACATGTTCACATATTGACTGGAGACAAGATGGACTTGTTACTCCAGTGAAAAATCAGGTAAACTTGTAATTTTTTAAATGTTCAGTAAAACAATATTTAAAATGCCTTTCAGCATGTTAGACTTACGGCTATGTTTAAAAAACATAAAAACCTATTAATGAAAATATGCCACAGTTGAAAACTTTTCCGTAATTATTGACAAGAACTATGAAAAACTATCATATAATATAAATCCTCTATATAAACAGGGAGGTTGTGAATGCTCCACGATCTTGGCGGTTCTTGCATCTCTGGAGGGCGTTTACAAGAAAGCAAAGGGGGGTAAACTGCGTAGTTTATCTGCTCAAAATGTAGTGGATTGCTCGAACAGTATGTATGTCAAGAATATAACTATAAATATATTGATAAGATGAAATTAATACATGTATTTATCCTCGGTCGTTTAACAACCTTTTGCTAAGTACTACCAAAATTGCCTGAGTATAAAAAGGATTTAATTACTTATTATGCATTAGCAATTCTTTGAGATGACCCGAAACGTAAATGCAAAATGTTATATCGAATAGGCAAGGAAAGCATGCACCCCTCGTTTTTGCCTGATTTCTTTCTTTTTTGTTATTGCTATTTTGGGTTGTGTGTATGCGTGCGTGCTTGCATGTGGTTTGGTTGTTTTTGGTGTGAGCAGAAACGAATTTCTTGTTGTGATCCAGCAATATTGCATATCTATGGTTACTCAAAGGTCAAAACTTTTACACTGGTGATTTTGTCATGACAGACGCTATCAAAACACGGCATTTGAGTAAATCAGAGATGTGGAGGGTTGTACGGATGGTTGAGGTGGGGGCACATATCATAATGTGTGGAACATGGTATACGCCACACAATTATCACGGTCTCGGAAAGATTATACCAGTATGGTATATGGAGGCATGTTGGAAGCAGACAAAGGTTGACCACAGGTCTTGATTATCAATTAGGCATCAATTTAGACAGATTGTCATTGTTGTGCAAAATAGAGGTACATTGACTTGTCGGCGGTACATAAAAGAGATTTACATTTCCAGTTTCGGCTTTGGGCGATCAGTTCTTTTTAACGGACAACACTGCTTACAGGGCCTATGTACTCAAGAATAACCTGCTAAGGAATGGTACGAATTCCTTGACAGCCAGCTCGATCACGCGACCTTAATCCAATTGAGAACATGTGGAATAAGCTGCGGGTAGGATGTCAGCTCACCAGGTGCAAGCTAGAAGCATCCAGGAGCTTACGGCCATTTAAATTAGAGAATGGCTTTCTTCCCAGGATGATAAGGCGTTTCCAAGCAGTTATCTTAAGCCAATGCTTGGGACGTGGACGTTAGTTTGCACTTGACAGTACTGTCCATGAACAGGCTCATTTAAACATAGTCTGCAACATTTTCAAATTTGCTGGCTTTTTGGACTTTTTTCTCTCTATTTAATACAACACGCTATTGAGTCTAAACTTATCAAAATAAATAATGTTGTCAAAATTTGGATAACAAGTTGCGTGTCCAACAATCTTGAATAGAAAAGGTCTTCCTTTACACATTACGTAAATGCAAAATCAGTGAAAACAAATCGAACTTCGTCCTTTAGCCGAATTTTTTAAACATGAAATTGTCATTTTAAAAATCAATTTTACGACCGTAATCAAATCTTTGCCCAAACAAAAATCAAACTGAAACGTTTGATGCTAAGCAAAATGTTAGAAGTTTATCACTAATTACCGTTTTAAACACATCTTAATATTTTACGAACTATAGTATTCTATTATTGAGCATTTCATTTGTGTTACCTTCTTTATATCAGTTCTATAACGTTTGTTTGTTAAAGGTTTTTCTCGTTGTCGATGTTTGCACAGTTCCGTTTACCAAGTGTATCAGTATATCGCAAAAAATGATGGTATAGACAGTGAGGAATGTTATCCTGCAAAGAAGACTACGGTAAATTGCGTTAATGTTAAAACAAAGTGATGAAAGAAAATAGTAAACAACCATGTAAATTTTAGTAAACTTTCCGCGTACATTAACAAATTGACACTTGTTAAGTTGTTATTAAAGTGCTTTAAATATTCAATTTATATATTTTTTTATTAAGCTGTGTTTGTCCCTACGTATATATACTCGTAAATATGTACTATGTTTATTGGTTATATTAAGTAAAATTAAAAAGTGAAATTAAAGATTTTCTAATTCAGAAACGTAGATGTCACTACACGAAACGCTGTAAGGCCGCAACATGTACCGGCTATAGATCAGTAAAGAAAGATGAACGCTCACTAGCTGATGCCGTCGCTTCTGTAGGGCCGGTTGTTATAGGAATGGACGTCAACAACCGAGCTTTCTGGTATCTTCGGCTCTTGCATAGTGTATTTTTATTCTTTTCATAATAAATAGCTGAAACTAGAACATACAAATATAACTGCTGTACAATCAGTCGTAGAATTCATATTATCGAGTAAAACGCAAATGGAAAAAATCCATGTCTTTAAACATTGCATAAACTGAAGAAAGTAAAAAGAGGAAAATTCTAGTTAGTCTTTTCTGTATATAATCATGTGATTATATTCCAGGTATTATAAGAAAGGTATATATTTTTCACCACGCTGTGGCAAAACTATATTAAATCACGTTATGGCAGCAGTTGGGTATGGATCTGATGTAAATGGAAAGGAATATTGGATCGTCAAAAACAGGTAATTTTTGTATGCTGGAACAAAAACAGCACTTTATTGGAATTATTGTATAAAGTTATGTATCTGCAGCAAATATTATTGTTTGTATTAAAAGATGCTTGTATGAAATAAATATGATAATAAATTGCCTTAAAATCAAATGGCGCATACATGAAATCATTATTGACTGGAATAGAGAAAATACTAAAAATCCGGAACATTTTATTCTGTTTACGTACTTTCTTAATGTGTGTTGAAAAACAGAGACATTCAATGTAACAACTCATTCGAGAATCGACCATTAGATTATGAAACAAATATAATTTATATGATGTTAAATGCTATTTAATATAACTTAATAAGGTTATATAAGATTTACCTTTATATCCTTTCAGGTTTAAGTTTTCCATTGGCATGTTTAGTTTGTACTGAATGTTAGCCCAAATCTTATGGCTTAATCGCAAATTAAAACAACTACTTAAATTGCCAAATATTGAAAACATCAAAATAATTATGACTAATGTTAATAATACTGTGACAGCTCACAAGAATGAAAGTTTTATGTACTGTGTGGCAGCCGTAAAAATGTAGCCTTTACTTCACTTCAGTGTTGTTTTTTGTGGTTCTTCAGGATCATCGAGTCCAGCACTTTTAAGTGTTGAGAATTAAGTACTGCTCAAGCCGATGCTAGGGGGCGTGAGGGGTGTTGCACTTTTTTGTTATCCCTCATTTACAGGCTCAATCAAACCGAGCCTGCAAATTTCATGTTATTTTGTGCTGTTTTTGTTGTTTCCCATAATATTTTGTTTTTATCATTGCTTCCAGTCTGAGGTGTCTAGAGAATACATATTTTATGGTATTGGTATAAAATGTATTTGTGTTTTCAGTTGGGGTACACAATGGGGAGACAAAGGCTATGTGTATGTTGCCAGAAACCGAGACAACATGTGCGGAATCGCCAGCTTTGCCAACTATCCGACTGTTTAATTTCGATGTTACCATTATATATGCCTATGCAGAATAACACTTTAGATATTTTTCTATATGTAATGTGAACAATTCTAAAGTTTGATGATGTAATAGTTTCAAACGCACAAAATGATATTATTACGGTCTCCTTTGTTGTATTTCTTAATATACACCTTTGTCAAAATTTTATCTTTGTTGTTTTTTTTTTGTTGATGCTGTTGTTCTTGTTCTTGTTGAAATCATTTTATTTTCCTCATATTGTACTTATGTACCTGAGAGTATGTTCTGTTCTGTTCACTAATATAGACTTTTATAGATTGTGTTCTTATCAATTGTGATAAAAAAGAATATGATGTTACACACTATGAAATGCTTAAAACTTGAAAGAAAGAGCTATAGTTGAACCAATTAAAAATATGATTAACATATTGCATCATATCATATTTTTGTTATGATACATTCCCAATTGTATCTGGTTGATTTACTACTGAAAGTAAATTTGATTTATAAAACAAATCAAATGCTTAGTAAAACAAACTGGTGATATAAAACAATTTGAAGTTTAAACGACTCAAATATTGTTATACAAAAAATAAGCAATCAAAATAAAAGGATATAGAGGTGTCCGGTATAAAACTTTCAGCACTGATTCAACAAAAAATCTTATAAAGGAAAAGTTCGACAACAAAAATGATAATCAAATATTTCACTTCACGATTGTGTCCCTTTTAAAATATCATTATTTGTGTGATATTCCAACAGTATGCCATGTTTGAATAAACGTTTCGGTTACAAGAACATATGAACTAGCTTTATTGATCAAATATGACGACAGATGCTAGATACTAGATTGAAGTGATACTTGTACGTAATATGTGGCATATGTTAATTATTTATTGATAAAGTATTTTTCCTCGTTCTTGAAAGTGCATATCTAAGTACGGCTCATCACATTAATATATTTTAAACTCATTTGTTAATTTCCATAAACTACAAATTACGGGGAAACATTTAAGGCAACCAATTTTATTCACACCGTCAAATAGTAGATGTAATAATTTGAAAGGTAACAAGTTCAACAATGTTAATCCTATTTTATTAAATATCTCGGATTTATTATTCAAACAATATTTTTTGATGCAATATACACAAAGTTTTTTGGTTTTTTTTTAGATTATGCAGTTGTGTTTACAGTAATACCGAAGAAAAAACTTTAAAGTGAACGTATAAATGCGTAACATCACATTTCAATTATTCATTTCTTTCATATGAAGTTGTAAAATGTTACTAAGCAAGAAACGAGCCTCTAGTGAGTTTCATATTTTGGAAGAAGTTTTAAAATAAAAAATGCGAACTGACAAGAAATATGTTTTGTGTTAAGAAATAAGTACAACATGCAGAAAATAATGAACACATTCATCTATTACTGTTATCGTAAATTTAGCCGGCCAACTGATTTACAAAAGATACGTGGTATTTAAACTTCATATGTTGATAATATATTTGTTCATTTACTATATTTTCTCATGCTGTTCTGAAATGAAACATTAGTAAACAAGTTAAATAAATATAATTTGTGACATCAAGTTGAGTGGAACTCAAAGTACAAACCTATAAAGTTCACGTTTTAGAAGCTTTGGTCGGGTTTATTTACCGATACAAAAGTGTGTAAGGGGGTGGGTCAATATGTAATGAAATATTGGCAATAAACTTATCAAATGAGTAGATATTTTACAAATTTCTATTCGAACTATTCGAAATAATATCCCCCTACAGAAATACAAATGTTTAGCTGTTTTATTCAATATGTTGCTTACGTATACTTTTCAATAACTGAAAAATGGTCGACCAAAGTCCATTTCTTTTCTTGTAGCAATGACTTGCAGGATGCTTTCATCACCAGTCACAATATTAGGAAAACAGCGATGCCATATTTAGGAAACATTTTCATTCATTTTTGAGCGCATTTAGCTCGCTTCTTCTTCTCATCAGATGCTAGCAAATACGGTATCAAGCCTAACTTCCAAGTGTTTCTTCGGAATCGTATGAGTTGCCTCTTTTGATATCCCTGCGACACGGGCTTTCTAGGTAAGTGAAAGTCTGGCATCTTTGTTAATGATAAGATTGACTTTATGAATGTTTTTGCCAGTAACCATGGAGTGTTTTTCTAGCAAACTTACGGGTATCAATAATTTACTCGTGCCTATTTTCGTATTTATGCATCCTACCTAGAAACAGTTGAATAAGATACTTCATTGTTGCCATAAAATTATAAACATTTATAACAGATTTTGCTAGTTTTGCTCGAGCTCTTATGTAAGTCCGTGTTTCACCATTTTTAACTGACTGTTTACCCACCATATTTTACATGAAGTACTCTTATTAGCTATTTTTAAATCTGAATGAAATTCTTATTCAGTTGACTATGACTACATACATGATTTTGGCATCATTTAAAGCCTAGCATAGTTTACACAAACATAAGAACTACGAGCTAAATAAAAAAATAAATACTTCATATTGCATTACATATTGAACCACCCTCGTATCGGACACAACCAACGTTGCTCTATCAATACAATGATAATAAATTACACCCTTTTGTTGTCGGAAGACCAATAGAACGTTAAATTTCATGTCGGGTGAGTGCTTGTAACACTACAATATTGTTTATTATAGTAAAGGAAACTATAGAGCTATAAATATGTCACCTGGTAATGATGGAGAGGTTGACATAAATAACCTGGTGTAAATTATTCATGGCTCACCATGATACTGAGCATGCGCGTAACAAATGCTGTTATGACAAGAATGATAAATATCTTTTATGCATTTGTAAACTAAAATCAATTAGGAAAACTCTCGAGAAGATCAAACGAGCTTTTCATAATGAAGTCATTAACAGGCCAACATTATAAATAAAGAAGGAAAAGGAACTAAAACACAAAAGATATATAAACAGCTTTAGAAAAACACAATGTGTTTCTGATATTATTAGTGTGTATTTTTTATCATAGAAATATAACATGCAAATTACATTCACGAATATTGATGCATTTGATAAAAAGTCCAATGTCCAAACAAAAACTCAAATTCTAATTCAAAAGACATCTAGGTTCACCGATATCTCTCTATTGTATTTTTATAATCAATGCTTTGGTTAGTCTCTTTTCTTTTAAATACGTCATGATATTTGCTGAAGTAATTAGTGGTGTTGTTTTTCATGTTTTCCTATCTGTTTCTTGTGATTGTTTTTGATTTCCTTGAGATTCAAAGGTTGTTCAATTAAATTGGAAGTTAATTACGAAATATCGCAGTGTTCGTTGCTATTGTTGATAAGTGCGTACTGTTTATGACATCATGATAAAAATGGTTAATGAATATTAATTGTATATAATAAAGAAACATCAAATGTACATATTCATTACTACATTATATATTAAAGGATTGGGCGTAAGTTATGGTAACGTTTCTCTTTACTGTAAAGGCTAAAAATGATAGATTGAAGTCAATAATACAAAACATATGGTAATGTTGACCTCTTTTTTACAATACCGGTTTTACAAATTCTTTGAGTATGGCTAAGCCAATATAAATGATAGAAAAACTTGACATTAATCCCATTTTTAACAGGAAAAAAAATCAAGTCGTTTATTTGTTCCGATGACCTTTATTTGTCTCATTTGCATTTTCATAAAAAAATTGTTGCAATATATTAAAATGCAAAATCATAAAATATTTAAACAAAAATATTTTTGTTTCTGTAATCTTTCGTAAACATGACACAACAAACATTCAAAATCAGTCTAAAAGGTTTTGCGGTAACGAGTATATTGTCTTACCTTTCAAAATATAAAAGTTAAAACAAGTGACAACAAACATACTGAAATTATTCCACTTTAGTAACCTGACGCTGTAAAATGTAACCACTGTCAGGTTTATCAGGTCATACTTCATTTACAAATATCATTATTGCTACATGCCTAATATACCTGTTGAAAAATTGATGTTAATTGAAATTAGGTCATGGGAGGAATAGTATGAGTTTTTATAACATTCTTGATCCTCTTCAAAGCTTAATTATCTCACCAATCATAACATCAATAGTATAAATAATGAAACCATGGTTTTATTTGTCCTCAGACACCATGCAGTATATAACTAAGACAGATAAAAAAGCAATTTTAAGTAGCAAGATATTCAGAACGAAACACCTCTTGATACGAAATCACAAATTGTTTCTGCGTATTGGTTTAGATCAAAATAGCAATGCTACATGGAGTAGGACAGAGGGAGAAAGAGAGCGAGACAACTGTTACCTTTGGATAAAATTGACCAGGTATCAGCATTATCAGATTGATATTTAAAAATTAAAAATGAACTTCAATTCTGAATTTCACACATCGAAGATATGTTTCATAACTCTATCTGCTTTTTAAACAAAAGTTTGCTTTATTCGTTTATGTTTTATCATGCTAAGCGTGTACTAATATTTAGTCGTCTGACAATACTGTTAAATTAAAATTTACTCTACTCTTCAAACACATTCAATTTAGCAAAAATAAAGACGTTTCTAAACTCTCACAATCCTTGAAATCTAAATGACGGATGTGTTTCCACCAAGACAAGTACTTCGTGCTGAATTAAGTGCCGAATTTCTAGATGTATCTCAGAGCGACGACCTTCAACGGAAATAACATTATAAGGTTGATGATGTCAATTGTCTCTTTAAAGTCAGGCACCAATCTTCCTGTTAAATTTGTAAAAGTAATACAGACAAGACACAGTGTGTCGTCATAGCCTTTGTTGGTAGTCTCTACAAGAATGTCGAAGATTACGTACATATGAGTGCATATTCTAGAGGCATCATCAATTTCCATCTCGGCGACACAAGAATCAGTGGTTTCCTTTCAACCGTTTATAAACGATTCATTTTCCTAAAGAACCAATCAGAATAACAATGATATACTGTCCATTGTTATATACATGTAGCTTTATGACACTGAGGCTCCAAATCGGATTCTTCCATCATTCACAGCATTGGTCTCGAAGGATTTTTTTAGAATATTTCTACATTAAGGAACAGTCTTTCATTTTCACACTGCACAGTTAGTGCACAGTTGTACGTAAATGTATACATGTATATTTATACATTGTACTGTCATAACGTAGAATATGATAAGTCTCACCCTAACGTTTCTTTGGACATTTCAGCTTAGATTTTTTCCATTATTTGGTAGAAGAAGGTCAATTTTACAACGCACGTTACAGAAAAACAACTGATAAAACGGCTTAAAATCTAGCAAATGGAACTTTGCGTCGACAATTGACACCAAAGAAATAACCATGAATTATAAAATAATGATTTTCATAACAGCTCAAATTTTGAAACAAATAGTAAAGTGTGTACATTATTGTTATTTAGAAAAATAATTTAGTTTCTTAAATGTTACTGTAAAAATGGGATTTACATACGAGTTGGAGAAAGACATGATGTTGGTAAACACATTATCAGATAATATATGTGTTTTGTGACCAAGAGCAAATCGAAAATAAAACAAAACGTTTCCTCACTATGTACAAATGTATTTCTTTTACCACTACCACATACATTACCACTAATAATAATGATAGGTAATTGAGTATAGAATTAATCTTTGTAAACGAAAATGTAAGTTTAATTTTATTCATTTTATATTTTGATAATTTGATTATTTTATATTTTTGAAAGCGTGAATATGAACTACTTCTTGAAAATTAAATCATGATATTTTAATGATAATCAAAATACAGTTTACTCCATACAGCCGACTGTCGAATGCTGAAATATAATCTCTAAAGAAAGCCCAACACGTCAAAATTGAAAATACTGCAAGCTCGGTTTGATGGAAGGTACTGGAAAGTGCATTTTACCGACCTTGCCCCCTGCCTAATACCGGCTTAAGCAGTATTCAACATTTAACATGAAATGGTAAAAGTTTGCATTTTGAAACATCCGCAGATGAAACCAAGATTTTGGCCCACTATCATGTTGATGCTCTTATATTAAATAGCGGTAAATATATATACTGAAACTGGACTTAGATTGGACTTAGACTTTATCATTTAAATTATTCATATAAAGTAAAATCAGCAATATTAATGCTATCAGACTAAAGTGTACATAAACACCATAAAAAACGGAATTTTTCTTGATATTTCAAAATATTTGTAAATTAAAAGAAATATCTTTCTTATTTATTGTCCCGATTATTAATATACCAATAAATATTGTATTGTCTGCCATGGCATTTAAATTTATTGCTAATATCATGAATAATGCTTTGAAACTACTTTATATGTATCAATATATGAATGCCAATAAACAGTCAATATTTACAAATGTTAGATTGCCCTTTTGGGAACAAGCGATCAATACAGATCATACTACATAATTTTATTTTTCCTCGTTTCACCTTTAAAGCATTTGAAATGTCATTTAATTGATAAATAACCACAAAGTATGATAATCTGATACTAGAATAATTATATACTTCTATTTGAAATATGTATATATTTATTTGTTCTGGTCTCCAAGATAATTCCCATATCACACATTTCATGAAGTGCGCGTGACAGCATCTCAGCAGTATCTGTGCCAACATCCAATATCTCCATCACGACAAAACCGTTTTACTAAACTTCACACAGCCTTAACATTGCAACGCAATTTCCGTCAGACAATTATACGATAGAGTCAGTGCCATGAATTCCGTCGGGTATTTATCAGGGGAAATTAGATGCTCGTGATAAAAGGTATAACTCATTTATAATTGTTTTCAACTGAAAAGAGGAATATTACATAAATTACTAGCCAATCGGTGAACCGGTTAATTTTATTAATTTCCAATACCATTAGTTTAATTAATAATATCTTAATTCGATTAGTACTAAAGAACAACTTTCTAGGTCTGACTATGGCAGTGCAGTCAAACATTAAATTTGTAAAAGAAATACTTTATATAACTGGATATATGTTTTGCAACGAAATACACACGTTACCATAACAACGTTGGAAGGTTATACAACAACAACAACGAGAAAGAAAGACAGTAGATCTCATTGTCAAAGTGTTCAGCTTGATTCAATGGCGATTCAGTACTCGGACAAACACACGGACATTGTGAACTTGAATGTGGGAGGGACTATATTTGTTACTACAATGAGAACGCTAAAATCCGTCTCAGACACGCGTCTTTCCGGAATTTCTACAAACTCTTCGGAATTTATAGCTGGTCAAAATATGTATTTCTTTGACAGAAATCCAGAACTTTTCCATTCTGTTTTGGATTTTTACCGCACGGGTGAATTGCATCTACCCAAGCACGTGTGTGGGCTGCCATTACGAAATGAGCTCGAGTACTGGCAGATTTCCTCGAGCAGTATCTCGGATTGTTGTGTGCCGAGCTTGTTTAAATTTGAAGACGAATTAGAAGTTACCAACAATCTACGTCGACAATTTGAAACCAAAAGTAAGTATGATAATATGATTATTTGTAGATACTTCAAATATCTCTTAATTAACTCTACTACCTATAAGAAAATGTTATTTTCCGTAGATATAAAGGTCAAAACCCTTGAAATTGAATACTTACTTACAACGTTCAAACTATATCGATAATTTTGCGCATCATAGAAAAACAAAGGAAAATTAAATCGATCTCTATGAACAAATCATAACGTTTTTATTGAAAGTTAAGCAATGTGTATAGTATACTGTATACCTATGATATTTTCTTATCATAACGTTGATATCTTTTCTTGGTAATCGGGAATGCGTTTTGGTTGATAAATCGGTTGTGAATCACGCATGCATTTGTCATTTAATAGATAAGTTCTACCCGTAAACATTTATTTTTCTATTTTTCTACTCTGAGTTATGGGGTCAATTCAGAAACTTGTAAAAATTCAAATGAAATATGTAAAAACTTTTAATCAATGGTTTAAACATTTGGAACATACTGTCTCAATTCTGGTCGATGAAAGTAAAAAAAAATGAATTATACATTCAAATACAGAAAACTGTTATTATTTATTAATAAATGGCTTATGATGCTACGAGGCGTGGACGGTAATTTGCGCTTTTCACTACCGTCCATGAACACCGAGCCTGCAGCATTTACAATTTTGTCGTTTTGAGAGTTCTTTAGGGATTCCGTTTTTATCTATTTTATAACATTTTCAATAAAAATGTATCCCAAAACTATTCGCAGAGGCATATACAAATTTTAATATACTTTTTCAAATTGCTTGGAAACACGGTCACTTAAGCATTGAAAAAGTATTGAATTTAATTCTATATCTTTAGAAGAAGCAAAGTCAATTAAGCCGATCCAAGTCATAATACGTCATAGACGCTTATTTAGCTATTCAAAGATCAAACCGTATCCAATTGTCTAACAATTTGTTTTAGAATTACTTCAGTTATTAATTTTCAGTTTTGAATATATTTCAATTGGTTTAGCAAACATATATTAAAAGGAAATACATTTTATCTACATTGATTAAACATTAAGTCAAGAAGCGTGTACACGATGGGGCTGTTATAGGCCTGCATAGAGAATTCTTGCACTGGCGGTGTCTACGTCGTCGCCAACAGTTCCAAAACAAAAATTGAGAATATTGAATGAGTGTAAGTTTATTACTGAATTAACTGAACGATTTGATTAATTTACATTATGCGAGCCTCTGACGAGCATAATATTATTTTTCATTCAACGAGTTCAATAAATGTAGTATTAAACTTGCACGAATTTGATATTCTATTTATCACATGCCAAAATTAAAGACCGTTTGAAGTGAAAAAATAACCATTTTTTGACGCGCCTATAGTATAACGCTAACATTTAGCGCGTATTAACGCTATGTTATATAATGAAAATGACGACATGTCAAAACATATGCACGGTCGTGCATTACCAACGTAAAAGTGGCACGGATGTGTGATAAAAAAAAAGTTATTTTTAAATATTATTTTAAGCTCCACTTAAACCAGAACAAATAATTATGCACAATTAAGTGCACATTTACAGTCTATTTACAACTGATCAATTATGTCTCATCAACAGTTATATAATCTTCATTTACCAGCATTTAATATGTTGCAGGGAACCTAAAAATAACAAAACACATAAATAATTGTTAATAAACGGCGGACATTTTCGACCTGTGTACGAATATATGATAATTATTTGTGAACAGGATAATTGTGATAATTTGCTTAATAATAATATGTAAACCTTGTTTTCTTTTTTTGATCATGAAAACAGTACCAGTTGGTTCTTGATTACATAAGAATCGGAGATGAATCCAAATTAATTGATCATCACATAGAACAAACATTGTCATTTGCAAAAAGGTTTTACGGCTTTTGTTCTGTTACATAAAATATAAAGAGAGCGATTATTTAATATTGTTTATCGATTCAGTAAATCACATATACATGACAACAAACACTGGTATTTATTCTCGAATGTCCTACAGCACTGGAAATACATCTGGGCAGTATTTAACACAAGAATCAATACCAGCCATATCATCTGGCAACATGTATTCAAAGATCTCATAAATAGGCATTTCGTTTGACAGGGATGCTTTGGACAAAACAATTTTTCCCCCGCATAAGACAAAACGTATTGAGAATTTCAAAATGTTGCATTCCAAAACTTTTGTTACTTTGCAACGGAATTATGTCAACAGCCATATTTAAATGTTTTTGTTTTTTGTTTTTGGTTCGTTTTATTTTTTGTTTTGTTTGTTTTTTTTTTGTCTCACACATTTTATATCTGTTTTCTTTTTATCTTATCAGTCTAACCATGTAAAGCTCGTCCCAATGCCTTGATACATGATAATATTTATCTATATTGACAAATCAATGGCCAATATCCTTTCTAACTAATGCATTAAAATGCTTTCATACACGCACATGCTTCGATTAATTAATAAAATGTAGACCAAATAATCAACGCTAGTGTCTCAGTTATGTAATTAGTTTAAAAAAATAATAATATTTTCTGTAATTTACATTGATAAAATCGTCCCTTCAAAGAATGACGTCATTGTTCGATCAGCGTTATTGCTCTGACGTCATAATTAACTAGTTTAGATTTTAGAGAGAAATCGCTGTTGCTATCATACCAAATTGCCTTGCAAACGCACAACGTATTAATTACTATAAATAGTTTTTAATTTGTGAACATTATATAATATTTGACTGATTGAGAAAACCTTTAGATCTAATCTTTTCTTGAAAGTTGTTCAATTCGCTTTAAATGTGACAATATAATCAAATCAATGAGGTTTAAACTAGATCTATTAATTGTCAATATAATGATATATTAAGTTATGTTCCATCTTTCTTAATTCGTGTGTTTGTTCCTATATTACAGGTGTAGAGTATACCAAAGAACAATTACAAGCCAGTAAATGGAACAGAATTAAAAATGTGTTTTGGAATGTGATGGACAGGCCAACATCATCTAGACTAGCACGGGTATGTAATATATAGACAGTTTCGCGGCTTCCTTACAATTGATTCAAACGTTGATGTGAGAATAAACGAGACCGGAACTATGTACTTCGACACAAACGTCACTTTATGAACAGTCTCAGTCAAATCGAACCTGCTTTAATCATGCTGCAGCAATAAAGTTACAGTTTTAATATTTGTAATGAAAACGCATTTAAACCAATCCTGTAAAAAGCTGTCCAACACAACTTTATTGAGAATATTTTACATAGCGTACAGTAAATAATTCTGTTTCTATACAAGAATATTTTTAATATAATCAGAATTTTAAAATGATTGATTTTATCTAGCCGTTAATGAGAGACAATTTAGAAAATACTTTATTAATTATCATTAATTTTTCATAAAGCATTAATTTCATTTTTATCACCATTGATAACCTGATAATTATGAAAAAATTTGCTACTATGAGTACTATCTAAAAAAGTTATCAATATATTTTAATAAAAACAGTACAGTACTATTTTTGCAACAAATTACATTAAATATACATGTGCTTCACGCAGCATGATTTGAAATTCTTCAATGAGCAAAGTGTTTAATGTTACATTTTATGATTCGACGCTCAAGGCAGATATATCTTAATTGTATTATTTGTCATTATCATTTATAATTCTTTATATACAGCATATCATTTCACTGGAACAATACTAAGATAATACCTAGCAACCGTGTCAACAATGTCGACGCATCGAAGTTTGAAGTAATATTATTAAAATAGTCACTTGCTATTGATTTTTTGTAACCAGACTGGAAAATATACATTCAAATAGAAAAAAGGAAACGTTAAACAACGTCCAAAAATCTAACAGGCTAAATTTATTGTGCCTGTTAATAGACGGTACTTAGCACATAATAATATGTAAGCTTCTTTCAAAAGTAATACTAGAACAACGCTAGGCTTAATTTAAAACTTCTTTGCACTTGAATGATCTAATAGCTAACTATATATGTTCTTCCTTTTCTTTCTTTTTCTCTCTCTCTCTCTATCTTTCTTTGAAGAATGTATCGATATATCGTCATTTTTACTGGCATTGCTCAACAACTGTATGCCTGCGAGTAACAATATAGTCCAAGGCCAGATGAGCAAATCATAGAATCCTGCACCGTTGTTCACCAATTTAATTTTGTAAATGCTTACTAATTAACACTAACCTTTACTTATTTTTAAAGATACTTTTTGTTTATTTTTAGATATAGCTGTATGATATTGTATTGTATCCTTTTAAATTTGTACAAAAATATGAAGGTATTTAAACAAATTGAAGTATGATATACATTCATAATTGTGTTAAAAGAAAATTTAAAAAAAATAAATAAAAATGATAAATATTTTTCAGATTTACAGCATCCTGTACATGTTATTTGTGATGACGACTTGCGTCATCTTCATCTTAAGTACCCATGAATACTTCCGTGTACCAAACAAAGAAACTGTGACTATCAACTCGACGCACACAATTACCGCCTACCAATACCTTCTAGAACAACACAACAACAATCCGAAGGTTGCTCTTCTTGGGTCGACAGATTTAAGACCAAGTCTTTATATTCTGGATAAAGTGTGTGCAGTATTTTTTATTTTAGAGTTTTTTATACGCTTCGTTGTATGTCCAGCGCGTATAGATTTTTTGAAAAGTTGGCTCAATATTGTTGACCTAGTGATTGTGTTCGCGTTGTTGTTAACTGGAATTATGGAGTTCTTTAATGATTTCTATACGAGCAAAGCGTTACTATGGTTATTCTTGATAGGGAGAGGAGTTATCATTTTGAGACTCATACGACTGTTTCGTTTTGCCAAGCATTTTAGTGGTCTGAAAATTCTTTATTTAGCTTTGAGAGCAAGCTTCGAAGAATTGGGACTCTTATGTCTAACATTCATGATAACAACTTCTCTATTTGGGGCTCTTGTCTTCTATGCAGAGTTTTACGAACCAACAAATTTTAGCAATGTTCCTATAGCGATATGGTGGGCCATTGTTACCTTGACAACTGTGGGTTACGGTGATTACTACCCAGTTACCGTTCCAGGATATTTTGTGGGTGCATTGTGTGGAATGTGCGGTTTACTTTTGCTTTCTATGCCAATTGCAATCATTGCAACCAATTTTAATGACTATTACAATCAAAATAAAATCAGAGAAAAACAAATCAATCGTAAAAAAGATATCTTTAACAAAATCAAAAAGTTATTCAGCAATAAAAACATGATTAATGTGATGCATGTAGATGGAATACCAGCAATCAACGGTAGGCCAAAAACAGCACGTTTACCGGAAATAGAAGGCCCACCAAATCCGGAAACGGAACCTAAAGCAACGACGGCGACACCGAGAGAGGTTAATGTAGCCTTTAAAAAGGCTGGTGCAAAAATTATGGCATCGAACCGACACTAGATTTATGACAGGAATGAAGAATGTTGATTTTTAAATTTTTCAAAGTATCTTTCATTTACTGCCATTAACAAATTTATGTTAAGGGAGAACAAGGCTTTTTAGTTTAAACATATTTGATTTGTTAGAGTATATACATATTACATGTTACAATTTACAATATATACAAATCATTTTAAATGTGCTAAAAAACAGGATTAGAATGAAAGACAAAGTGTTTTATGAAATTCTTCTCCTTACACAAGGCTTTTGAAAATAATGACAATGTTTTGTTTTTCAGTTGATAAGATGATAACAATTTGTTAAGTTATTGAATCAATACTTTAAAACTAGCTACAGTTTTAGAAATGTTTTATTGTATGAAAGAAATATAATGAATCGTTTTGTTGAACATTGATAAATGGCAAATGTATTAAAGTTTACCCATTGTTATATTTTCTGTTCTTTTTCTTCTTTCTAAAAGCAGTTATACTTTGCAACTGATATGTTCATCTTCAGTATAATAAATTTTGAACTACAATAAGAGTTTAAATAATCTTATTTTAGTTGTTTTTTGTTCTTAGCTTTGTTAGTGAATGACAACACATACTTTTTCATATAACTAAAACTTCTTCTCCAATACCGTACAATGAACTTTCTATTAAATCTCCCGTCAATATCTCTCCAAATAAAAATATTATAGAACAAGATATGAAATCATGTACTGCTCTGGTCAAAACGAACGAAATATAGTTTTTGCACTGGAACGAGCAGAAAATATTTTTCCAGTAATGATATCTATGAAAATGAAAATAAGAAAAACAGCGAGATTACAAAATATAACTAGAGAAAGCAATAATTGAACAAACCCTTTTTTGTCACGACCAGAGTATTAGAAATCAATACAGATCGATACAGTTCAATAAAATAGAAAAGCAACGTGCTACACAATTACACGGAGTAATTTTCTATAAAATTCTTCAAAGTAAAAATGAAATATAATGAGAACTGTTACCTTTGATCTTTTTAAAAGATAGTTAGCTCTAATGTTAGTAAAAGTATAATTATTGCCATATCACGCTTTTAACTAAAAAGTGAAAATGTGTTCAAAGTTTAACCAAAATATGCAAAGGCGAGTTTTTTCTATTGGTTGATGAGTTTGATAAGCATTTCTTTTGTATTAATATTTCATACAATGTATATGTTTCTTTTTAAATTTATTATTATATAGTTTCATTTAAACGAAATATTTTGTATGTGAGTGTATAACTTTAACGTTGTTGTTTCTAGTATAGGTTGCAAAGCACGGGTGTTACAAAGCACGGTTGTTTATAGTATAAGTTGCCAAGCACTGCTGTTGCCAAGTACGGTTGTTTATAGTACAGGTTGCAAAAACGGTTGTTGCCAAGCATGGTTGTTTATAGTACGGGTTAATAATATTTGCACATGTGTGGTGATTGCCATTGAAATTGTTGACCTTTAAACATCAATATTTCCGAGACTTTTCTTTTAAAACGTATTCATCATCATAAGGAAGCAGTTGGTAAAATCTTATTTAATGTTCCGTTTTTCATTAATCAGTGAACAAGGTGACGCGACCTTGACAAGTCTACAAAACTAAATTGTAAATGACACGTCATTAGTGTTGTACTTTGATAAAATCGTAGAATCAACAAGTTTTTGACAGATAATGAAGAGCGCTTATTTTTTTTAATTCAGGAGTTTCTTGATAAAAAGGTACTTTATATCTTGTCAGTTGGCTTTTTACCTGTGAATTTTCGCCGGTTAACTTCTCATCTTTGTGAACACAATGATCTGTAAAAAGTATCTAGCACATGCTTTTGGCGAACGATTATTGCAGAAAATTACGTTTTGTTGACAATATCAATTATATATTTACTAACTAATAGGAACAATTTCAAATCAATGATTTTGTAAAATCTACCCAGTCATACTTGTAATAAAGACACTGCTGTTATCGTTGAATATCATCTATTGATTTAGTAAATTGTATTACAGGTGATAATATACTATGGCATTTATTCTAGAATATCCTACATTAAAGGCAACATACCTGGACGGCTTTAAAAGTCGCTGTAATCGATTCGTTCAGCAAAGTATTTGAGAGCTTACAGTAATACCCTTTCTATTTGACAGAGATGTTTCCGTAAGATATGAACTCTTTCGTCAGGATAACGAAGTTTATTGACGTAATTCCTTTTACTTTTATTCTAAGTTTTATTGATTATCTCTTGTTTATGTTTACAGCCTCGTAGAACTATTGGAACTATTTTTTTCTTTATTCTCACCTTGTTTGAAATAATTTACGGTAATGCACCATGTTCTAACCACATTACATCCTGAAACATGGTTATTATAATCGTATCATAGATTTTATCAACTATGTTAGTTTTTTTAATAGACGCGGAATATGGTTTAAAACATGCAAAATGTTTTTAAAAAAATCAATGTATCAGTTTTATTCACGCAAAAATCGAGTTTCCAAACACTACAAAGTGGATATATAAATTTTATCTACTTTTATAGTTAGACATCACACAAATAAAACTATGATGTCTTCACAAACGTATCTAACCGAACTCTTTTGTCCCAAACTTTTATCTATATGTTTAATTTTCAAAGAAAATCGTTTTATTTCAGGGGTATTATTATTATTATTTGGCTATTCTCTTTAGCTTGCCAGAGAACCTTATATGCGATGTTCGAATTATACAGTTATCGTCTTAAAAGTGTTTCGTAATATAGCTTTCAAATCGGATATTGTTAATAGTAACAACTACCAACACCACCACTACCACCTTGCCTGACACAGATTATTCTGTAAGGTAATAATATTTTCATAGGACATATCGCTTGCATTGATTTTAATCATACTTTTCATTTGAGAACTGGGCGAACATGTTGCTTCATTACAATGAATCGGATTCTCATGATCATATAAACATGTAAAACATTACTTTCCAATTAACTTGTTTGGTATCACTGCGACGAAATGATTTCTTAATCTTGTAAACTTTACTGTTAATGTTTCTATTTTGTTCATTGATACAGCTTGGGTAATGGCGGTAAATTATGTTGTTTCAAGGCTTTTTGCCTTGTGCAATGATCCAAAGTAGTGATTTCACTTTTAACCCTTTACCTCATATATACGCGAAACAACGCACTTTCGACCCCCCCCCTTTTTTTAGGCCTGAAATAGTGAAAAATTGTCCTATTTGGGCCCCAAACACAGCCCCCCTCATCGCCAAGAAAATTTTGGACTTGTGAGAGGCTAAACATGGCCCCAGGTCGATCGTAAGGTAACGTGTAACCAACGCTGAAAAGCCTTTGACTCTATCTCAATCCCTTGAGAAGTTGCAGCACTTTGAAATAAATTTTGATGGAAAAAATCGAGGCAAAATAGTGATTTTTGGCAATTTTGAGATGTCCCCTCGTTGCCATGGTAACAGGAAATTTAAGACTGAGCATGTCGTTACAATGGTCCAGTCAACATTTGTGCCAAGTATGATTAGTATTGAAGCATTTTTCATAGTTTCATAGCAGTTTGAACTTGTAACAGGAGGCTTTTCAGTGAAAACGGCCATTTTTCACAATATGCTCATGAGGGAAAGGGTTAAAGCGTGAAAGTTAACGCCAATTTTTGCATTTAGCACTTGAATAGATGGAAACAAGCTTAAATAAAACAAGCAAATAATCAATCGTGTCGTGATTTTGTTCATGCTAAAATTCTTGATAAAATACCGGTAAAGTATTGAAAGCTTCAACGATAATTTATATTTGTTATATTCTAAGAATTATGTGGATTCAAGGAATCTTATGTAAAAGTAGTATTCATTTGACGCATGGCATTTTTATTACATTTTTATTACCGTATGTTTGAGTTAGGTTTTTGTGCAGACTTTGATACATTACAGACGTTAATTTCATGTTTTTTATGGTGATATGATATTTTAGCCGGACTATGTTTGAATGCAGATGAGAAGAAAAATCATACGGAAGTTTTGTCACAAAAAAAAACACTCAGTCGTAAGCGGAATGTATATATTACAATATTTCATAACCTTACATATTTTGTTCTTCATGTCTGTTGTAATTCATGTCTGTTGTAAACAGGACTGTTTAATATTATAAAATATGAACATTGATTTACAAATGTTTCATACAACCAATACAAAACTTTCGTATTTTAACATTTTTTCGTTTGTACAAAAAAACGAGGTAAATTGATAAAGATATAATAATCATGCTTCAGAAGGGAATGGTGTTGAAACAAAGTACAATACATTGAATGAATTAGAATGAAGTATGAATAAAGAAAATATAAATTCAATGGTAAAACGCGATTTCAGAATCCCCCAATCAATCAATCAATAAACTGATAAAAATGATAAATGAAAGTAAGTGGGATTACGTCAGTTAACTTGAGTTCATATCTAACAGAAATATCTTTGTCAAATAGATAAGGTATTAATGTAAGCTCTCAGATACTTTGCTGAACAAATAACTTTGCTGATTGCAATAACTAATGTCTGTTTCCCTTTACTGTAGGATATTAAAGAATAAAAGACCTAGTTTATTACCTTCTTTTATAGTTTTTAACCTCATTATATAACTTGCAGTGATATAGCCGGGTTATTTTTACACAAATACATATGTACAATTAATTTTAAAGAGTAGTTAAAGTACAAAATATATAGAGGATATTTGTTTGTTTGTGTGTAAGATGAAATTTTATTTCATCAGATGAAATTTTATTTCATCGAGTGGGCTTTAAAAACAGTATTCTCACGAGTGGCGTAGCCACGAGTGAGAATACTGTTTTTAAAGTTCACGAGATGAAATAAAATTAAATCTTACACAACAAACAAACAAATTTTCTTTTTATTTTATGCTAAAAAACAAGTTAAAACGAAATTTCCATAATATTAACGTAAATATTAAAATCTGTTTTCCCCATTGAGAGCCCCATTTAGTCGGAATTTCTCATTAAAAACAAGAAGTCTTGAGCTGTAAAATAAGTCCGACAATCAACGTTAAATGACAGTGATATTATTTATTTTGTTAAAAAAATATGAATGATCGCTTGTTTTAATAATAAAAACTAACAATTTTTGTAGGAGAAAAATTCCAACCATCCATCCATATTTCTGTTACTTACTGCGTATTTATATTAGACCTGGCTTTGTTAAATGTAAGCGGCAGCCATTTTTTTAAAGTTGTGTATTTCACGGGAGGAAAATAATTGTGTTTGATTCAGAGGGATATCATTTGGATTTGTTAGTCATACACCTTTTTAAAAGAAAGAAAACATATTTGAGGATTGAAAACAGAAAAAATAAGTGTTGACAGATGTGAAAACATGAAAAAAAAAGCAGCTATGAAAATGGAAAACTTGGAACTTGCTCGGAACGCGCTGGGTGGTTTAATT